GATGTTAACCAACGTTTCAGAGGTCATACTGCCTCCGTCATCAGAGTATGAAGATTTCTGTCTTCTGGGTTGTTGCGCTGTGTAGTCTGGTCGATGTTTATAAACGTTTTAGAGGTCATACTGCCTCCGTCATCAGAGTATGAAGATTTCTGTCTTCTGGGTTATTGCGCTGTGTAGACTGGTCGACCCAGAAGACAGAAATCTTAATAACAAAATTTATATCATTGTAAAAACTCGTAATAAAATTTAGTTCAAATTCCTAACCTGAGTTGTCAAATTTTCGTTAGTCATTAAATATTAAGACTCTTAAATCGGATTACGCAGATACTTGAATTAAAAATGTTTTCCTAGTTTAAAGACTTCCAATTCCAAAAATCAGACAGAGATGTAAGACTTTTTTGATGCGTACTTGAGGAGGGGTTGTCCCATGGCGGCTAGGTAATTGGATTTCTGCCGGAGTTCATAGTGGAAATTCTGATTTGATACATGAATGTACGTAGCTTCCTTGGACAAGTTAAGATTTGACCAGAGAGACCAAAGACGTTCCTGAAGTCCTGATCTTGGCGGTTGGTTCATGAACATATATCACGTGGAAACTAGATAAATATTAATTCAGATCAAGCAGTTTAATCTCCACCTCAAAACAACCATTTTTGATTATCAGAGTTATTCAACGTAAGATAAATGTATCACAGAACCAGGAAGGCGAACTTCGTTACTGTAGAATTGTTACTGAGAGAAAGGACAAAGGACACAATAGGCGATTATTTTATGGCACAGGCCTCGATCGGGGACAAAGGGACATCCCAGCAGATTTCTTGTAGCGATTGAATGTAGCCACTAAGTTACGCCATCCACTACAGTAATATAAACCTATGATAAGTGCATTAGAGTTACACGGAAATTTTTAATTTAATGTTATGTAGGAATAATTATTTTCAACAAATAAAGTTAAATGCGGACTGTGGTACACAGGATTATAACACCGTGTAGAAATGCATTTGATTACAAAAAACTAAATAAAAAGACGTTTACGTTGTAACCAGATTGAAATGTATACTGTTGCGTCATCTTTAAAATGTTACTAGATTCTGTTTTCAGCACACTTTATTTATATTTTATTAGGAAATTCAAATTTACTATGACGTCAAAGGAATAAAACTAGATGACCTGTGGTCATCGCAGTGGGGTATAGTGTACTCTAAAGCAAAGTTATACAAGAACAGGTTTCGAGATATAATATTTTTTATATTTGACATCAAACACAGAAGAACACAGCGGAGCAGCCAGATAAATTTTCTTTAATTTTTAGTATGTGAAATAGATTGATTGGAAACTGTCAGCTTTTTCACATACCTAGATCGCATCTCACTGCTAAGGTCAGATGTAATTTCACAAAATTCAAGGCCAATAGGTAGGTACAGATGCTAAATATAATTTTAATGGTTTTTCCTGCGTTGGAAAAGATGAACTTCGTCCTGTCGATAAATTTCTCCCAAAATATAATGAGTTTTGATTGATACATCCTAAACTAAAGAAGGTCAGAACTGTCAGGACAAATAATTTCTTCATATCGGAAAAATTTGCTGAGAAGTTGAAGGCAAATGACACTGATATTATTGGCTCTATGAAATATTTGAAATTAGATGCTCCAGATTCAATTGAGACAACACAAATGCAGCTATGAACATTTTCGTTAATGTTGACCTTGAAAAAGCAAAGGAATTATTTCTTATCTCTCGACATACTTCATCCTGCAATTCTGGTCACCAAAAGAGAGAAATAACCCTAGAAATCGAGAGAGGTCTACAGTTCAACTAAATATGGACTGGATATTTTTTTATAAATAACTAAGAAATATTGTGTAAATACAAGTTCCCACATAGGAAAATTTCATATATTTTATAACATTTTAAGTCTTGTTATTATCAGTGTTTGGGTGATAGAAGAAAAAAGATAAAACGAAGAAGAATTAATTTTTCCCCTTGCAGAGGAGCTCCAAAATAATTACATAAACTTCAGGCCTAAAAGTTGTCAATCAAAAGACAACAGCGAGGAATTTGAAGTAATCTTAACAGTACGTGTAAAGTGACACAATTATCGATCTGTAAAGTGCAATGAGAATGAAATAAATGTAAAATGCTGTTCAGTGAATAAAATTTATACGCGATAAGTACAAGAAACATAATGAATCTGCAGTAATTGCACTGAAAAGTAATGAAAACTTCATTTACAAGGGAGGAAGAAATTACTTACTTTAGACAAAAGATATATGTGAGACACTTACATACTGATATTGACTTAACACTTTAAAAATTCTAATGAATCATAGTTTCTACACTCGACAAACTTTTCAACCTATTAAAATGTTTACAAATCTCCGATTTTAAAACAAAAGATTTCTGCCATAGTTCACAAGCATTTTCATTCATTTCTGGTAGAAGTTTACAAACGTTTCAGGGGTACATGCTGTCTCCGTCATCAGGGAAGCCAGGACCTCTGAAACGTTGATAAACTTTTACCAGACTAAATGGCACAACAACCCTGAAGATAATCATCTTCGGATTTACCACCGGGAGAACCTCAAATCCTGCTTAGGAGAATGCGAATCGTAACAAGACTTCTGGGATCTTATTTGCTAATCAGCAGTCATGCGTTTTACACGAGGCCTTAGGGGCCTTAAGGGTTTAACCGTCACGTGACCGTACCTTGCACGAGCAATATGTCGAGTTCTTGTATGAAAATTAATTTAGGCCGTCTTGGTGGTTGGGAGCTACAAAAAACCGCAAACAGGGTAGGCTTAGATGGGTGGATGATGTTAACCAACGTTTCAGAGGTCATACTGCCTCCGTCATCAGAGTATGAAGATTTCTGTCTTCTGGGTTGTTGCGCTGTGTAGTCTGGTCGATG